CCCCTCAGGTCAAGGCAAAGTAATTCAGTGAACTAGCGCTGCTATTGGTTCAAAACCCCAACATTTCAACAGTGTTTACAGCAGCAGCTCACTTAATGACAGCGTAGCCAGGGGCAACAATAACAAGTGACAGGTTGTCAGACTGTTGCTGAACCCTTACAGCTTCCATTACAGAATCATTCCTGCTTTGACCGAACAGCCATACATATGGCTGTAGTTAATATGTAACAGTGGGGGTTTCACTTTCAAATAGACTGTAGCTACAGGCAGCAAAATGTCTGCAGTGGGGTTTAATATTAAACTTGGTGCAGTAGGTTAGAGATATCAAATCTCAAGACCCTGGAGAAACTGGGTCTCTTACATTGTCAGCAAGCAAAATATGAAATATTACAAAATGTGTTAAATGCCGTTTCAGTAGATGGGTATCTGAAGAATTCAATATGTTACAACCAGACCACCAAAACATTTTACCCTGGTATTTTGAATCATAATTAAAGTTATCATATTTAACATAGAAGGTAAGACTGAGAACTATTGCATGAACAGTTGAGAACTATTGCACTTAAGGGCATGGTATATTACCAAATGAGTTACAGCAAGACACAGGGAGAGTTCAGTAACAGGTCAAAGCTAGAGTGAGAAAAGCTTTGCAGATATTGGGGTGGCAACAGATCTGGCTTAAATGATTGTCAAACTATCATTCAACTAAGGAGAAAATCCCATGCAGGGCCTGTTTTACAGTTATGTAGGAATGCTACAAGTAAACAGCAAAGAATAGCAAAACATTCAGTGCAGTGTGCATTATTTAGATTGTCCAGTCTTCAGATTAAGTCATTTCAAAGGCAAACAGCACAAATGTAACTATGTTCAACTTAAATGAGCGATTATGGGTTTTATCAGTACTATACAGCTGCCTATGGCTGCTATTACATACATGGCAGAAATGTTAATTTCTCATGAGGTACCACAGGTTGAGAGGTGCTACCAGGATTGGTAACTGTGAACACATAGATCAGGGGTAGGCAACTAGATTCAGCCGCGGATGGTCAGGGGGCCGGAACAAAATTATAATAATTTGTACACTGCAAAATTACCACAACTAAGCCCAAAAACAGATTGTATTTGAAAATAACAATCATTACATACCTTGATTACATTGAGACATGATCACATCTCCTTTTTTTTTCTCAAGAGAATACTTGGGAATAGATTTCCTACATTAAACAAATGTTTTGCTGAATTCCTGGTGATTTTACAGCCTTTGACCAAAAACTAAAATCTCCCAAAATATATATATTTGTTTATACTAAAACCTTTGGGTAGCCCCCCCAAAAAATAAAATAAAATAACTTGCGGGCCGGTTTCGGGCCACGGGACGCCTGTTGCCGACCCCTGACATAGTTAGTTTTTCATATTTCAGAATCTCAGTATTTTAAATATATCAAACAGTGACAGTATTGCGATTTGAACAGCACCAGGTGTAGAAATGGAGTAACATTTTAGACTACTCCACAAAATATCTTAAGACTAGTGTCCCTTTACAACCTTACATTTCAAGTCCTAGATCCATTACTCTAGTTTCACGTGACCTTTTTAAATCATGTAAAAGTAATACATAAAAAATGACTAATAGATTTTCTGTTAACAGAGTTACTGTATAACATTGTTCTGGGGAAAAATATTCCATACTGTATTTACAAAGTGCTATCTTAAAACATTCCTATTCAGTTTTGCGTACAGTAGTAGACTAATACCATACTTTGCCGAAGGCAATGATTTGGTTCCATGACAGGATAGAAAGGCGCTTTTGATCATTTACATCAAAGAAAAATACAAGTATATATATATATATATATATATATACACCATTCAAATGTTTGGGGTCACTTAGAAATGTCCTTGTTTTCAAAAGAAAAGAAAATTTTTTGTCCATTAAAATAACATCAAATTGATCAGAAATACAGTGTAGACATTGTTAATGTTGTAAATGGCTATTGTAGCTGGAAACGGCTGATTTTTTATGGAATATCTACATAGGCGTACAGAGGCCCATTATCAGCAACCATCAGTCCTGTGTTCCAATGGAACGTTGTGTTTGCTAATCCAAGTTTATCATTTTAAAAGGCTAATTGATCATTAGAAAACTATTTTGCAATTATGTTAGCACAGCTGAAAACTGTTGTGCTGATTAAAGCAGCAATAAAACTGGCCTTCTTGAGACTAGTTGAGTATCCGGAGCATTAGCAATTGTGGGTTCGATTACAGGCTCAAAATGGCCAGAAACAAGTAACTTTCTTCTGAAACTGATCAGTCTATTCTTGTTCTGAGAAATGAAGGCTATTCCATGCGAGAAATTGCCAAGAAACTGAAGATCTCGTACAACGCTGTGTACTACTCCCTTCACAGAACAGCGCAAACTGGCTCTAACCAGAATAGAAAGAGGAGTGGGAGGTCCTGGTGCGCAACAGAGCAAGAGGACAAATACATTAGTGTCTAGTTTGAGAAACAGACGCCTCACAGGTCCTCAACTGGCAGCTTCATTAAATAGTACCCGCAAAACACCAGTCTCAACGTCAACAGTGAACAGGCGACTCCGGGATGCTGACCTTCTAGGCAGAGTTGCAAAGAAAAAGCCATATCTCAGACTGCCCATCTTAATCTTTAATTTTTATTGGCCAGTCTGAGATATGGCTTTTTCTTTGCAATTCTGCCTAGGTCAGCATTTTGGAGTCACCACTGTTGACGTTGAGACTGGTGTTTTGCAGGTACTATTTAATGAAGCTGCCAGTTGAGGACCTGTGAAGCGTCTGTTGGCAATTTCTCGCATGGAATAGCCTTCATTTCTCAGAACAAGAATAGACTGATGAGTTTCAGAAGAAAGTGTTTTGTTTCTGGCGATTTTGAGCCTGTAATCGAACCCACAATTGCTGATGCTCCAGATACTCAACTAGTCTCAAGAAGGCCCGTTTTATTGCTGCTTTAATCAGCACAACAGTTTTCAGCTATGCTAACATAATTGCAAAATAGTTTTCTTATGATCAATTAGCCTTTTAAAATGATAAACTTGGATTAGCAAACACAACGTGCCATTGGAACACAGGACTGATGGTTGCTGATCATGGGCATCTGTACGCCTATGTAGATATTCCATTAAAAATCAGCAGTTTCCAGCTACAATAGCCATTTACAACATTAACAATGTCTACACTGTATTTCTGATCAATTTGATGTTATTTTAATGGACAAAAAAATTGCTTTTCTTTTGAAAACAAGGACATTTCTAAGTGACCCCAAACTTTTGAACGTTAGTGTACATCTATCTATACAGTGAGGGAAAAAAGTATTTGATCCCCTGCTGATTTTGTACGTTTGCCCACTGACAAAGACATGATCAGTCTATAATTTTAATGGTAGGTTTATTTGAACAGTGAGTGACAGAATAACAACAACAAAATCCAGAAAAACGCATGTCAAAAATGTTATAAATTGATTTGCATTAATGAGGGAAATAAGTATTTGACCCCCTCTCAATCAGAAAGATTTCTGGCTCCCAGGTGTCTTTTATACAGGTAACGAGCTGAGATTAGGAGCAAACTCTTAAAGGGAGTGCTCCTAATCTCAGCTTGTTACCTGTATAAAAGAGACCTGTCCACAGAAGCAATCAATCAATCAGATTCCAAACTCTCCACCATGGCCAAGACCAAAGAGCTCTCCAAGGATGTCAGGGACAAGATTGTAGACCTACACAAGGCTGGAACGGGCTACAAGACCATCGCCAAGCAGCTTGGTGAGAAGGTAACAACAGTTGGTGCAAATGGAAGAAACACAAAATAACTGTCAATCTCCCTCGGCCTGGGGCTCCATGCAAGATCTCACCTCGTGGAGTTGCAATGATCATGAGAACGGTGAGGAATCAGCCCAGAATTACACGGGAGGATCTTGTCAATGATCTCAAGGCAGCTGGGACCATAGTCACCAAGAAAACAATTGGTAACACACTACGCTGTGAAGGACTGAAATCCTGCAGCGCCCGCAAGTTCCCCCTGCTCAAGAAAGCACATATACATGCCCGTCTGAAGTTTGCCAATGAACATCTGAATGATTCAGAGGAGAACTGGGTGAAAGTGTTGTGGTCAGATGAGACCAAAATGGAGCTCTTTGGCATCAACTCAACTCGCTGTGTTTGGAGGAGGAGGAATGTTGCCTATGACCCAAAGAACACCATCCCCACCGTCAAACATGGAGGTGGAAACATTATGCTTTGGGGGTGTTTTTCTGCTAAGGGGACAGAACAACTTCATCGCATCAAAGGGACGATGGACGGGGCCATGTACCGTCAAATCTTGGGTGAGAACCTCCTTCCCTCAGCCAGGGCATTGAAAATGGGTCGTGGATGGGTATTCCAGCATGACAATGACCCAAAACACACGGCCAAGGCAACAAAGGAGTGGCTCAAGAAGAAGCACATTAAGGTCCTGGAGTGGCGTAGCCAGTCTCAGGACCTTAATCCCATAGAAAATCTGTGGATGGAGCTGAAGGTTCGAGTTGCCAAACGTCAGCCTCGAAACCTTAATGACTTGGAGAAGATCTGCAAAGAGGAGTGGGACAAAATCCCTCCTGAGATGAGTGCAAACCTGGTGGCCATCTACAAGAAACGTCTGACCTCTGTGATTGCCAACAAGGGTTTGCCACCAAGTACAAAGTCATGTTTTGCAGAGGGGTCAAATACTTATTTCCCTCATTAAAATGCTAATGAATTTTTTTGTTGTTATTCTGTCTCTCACTGTTCAAATAAACCTACCATTAAAATTATAGACTGATCATTTCTTTGTCAGTGGGCAAACGTACAAAATCAGCAGGGGATCAAATACTTTTTTCCCTCACTGTATAGCTATATAGAGATATATACTATATACTCTCTAAATCTATACATCTTAGGCACACAGAAAAAAATAGCTGCATACATAAAATAATGAGACTGCTATCGATATATAATGTCATTGAGGCTTCTGTGTCGGGCGTGCAGAAGATTGCATGCTGGCAGAAAGCTTTCTGGAGGATGCCTGCTTCTCAAGAGGCTTTTTCCCATTGGGGGGAGAATTAAGACTGGATTCAGAAGTGGAAGACTTGGATTTGCCTATAACAGGTAACAGAGAGCGTCTGACTGGGGTGGAGGGCTTGGAGGACTCCTTTACCTCAGTGACAACCTCGTTCACATGATGCTCTGGGGAGGCCTGCAGTGAGGCATTGGCCGACCCATCCCCCTCCAGACCGCTCAGCCTGGCTGTCCTCTCAGAGGCCTTCTTGGCCAGGATGCTGGTCTTACCCAGATCGGCCGACCGGCGAGACTCTCTCTGGCGCAGGGCGTTCTTGAAGAACGACAGACCCTTGTCCTCTGACTTGCTGCTGCGCCTAGGGTCCCTGGAGGAGACGCTGGGGGAGCGCAGGCTGGTGACAGAGGAGCTGCTGATGGAACTCCGCAAAAACCTCCTCTCTGGACGGACCCCCTCCGCAGCGGTCTTGGTGGGGGTCCGGGCTGCAGCGTTGCTGCCCCAGCGTGGCCTATCAACCAGAGGGCTTACCAACCCCGAGTCCCGACTGCAGCTCCTCTCCAGCAGCTTCTTCCGACCAGAGGTCTTCTCAAGGCCAGGGGAACTCTTCTTCACGGTGGGGGAGGGGGAGGCGGAGGACTGCGGCGTGGAGATGCGCTGCTTGCGCTGGGGGGTATCAGCTGCCGAGTCGGGACCCTTGGAAGACAAAGACTCTTTCTTTTTGGATGGGGTCCTGGTGGGCGTAGCACTGCCGCTGCTGGTGGTCTTGTCTTTAGAGTTGGTCACCTTGGGGCCCTTCACCACAGGGCTGGAAGACATTTGGGATGTAGAGGACTTGGGGTTGGAGGACGAACACTGGCGCTTCTTTGAGCTTTTCGCTGGCCCAGACTTGATGGAACTCTTTTTGGACCCGATGGCCTCTAACTTCTGGGCAGATCCGGCGGTGCTGCTCTTGCGTTTCTGCTCCTTCGACGGGGTGGCTTGTGCGTTTTGGTCCAGGGCTGTTATCTGGTTGTTGTTGTCAGTCGGGTCACTCTTGGAGCTCTTCTTATCGGCTGGCGTGGGGGCCCTGCAGTAGATCTCGTCTAGGATCCTCCTGTCATGGTCCTGATCGGTGCTGTTCCCCTCCATCATGGCCAAGGGGGCCCTGCCACCAGGGTAGCGCTCGTGCCTGCTGTAGCTACCGAAGCAAGACGTGGATACCTTGTCATCACACGCCTCTCCCCTCTCTCCTATCCTCTCCAAGGGGGGAGAGGAGCGTGAGTCCAGGGAGAAGCGTGAGGGGGAGTTGGACCTCATCTGGAGCTTGGCAGAGAGGGACCAGGAGGGCTTCATGCCGTTCTCACTGAAGGCCAGAGGACTGGCAATGGATGACCTGGAAGACAAGCTCTGACGCTGGATGCTTCGAACAAAGGGACGGGTCGAAAAACCACCTAAATAGATTAAAATAAATGAGTTTACACTAATGCACTAGACTCAATGAAAGGATAATTTAATGCCCCCTTTTCTCAAGTGGGCATGGTAACAGATAGTATAAGTTAAAAATAACTAGCTAAAGGAGGGAGAGAGGAGGGGAAAAGAGCTGAAGAAGGAGAAAGAAGACAGAGTATCCCAGTGTATCCCACCGTCATCTTCGCAGTGGTCCCATGTGGTGAACTCCACCGACTCGCCCAGGGAAGCCAGAGAGGTGCGTCTGGAGGAGGCCCCGGAAGCCAGGCTGGCCGGCCTGCTTCCTTGGAGACGATTCACCCAGTGGTCACACAGAGATGAGCTGGTGGAGCCTGGCACAGATAGACACAACAATCAACCCCTCAGGTCTCTCACAGATAACCAAACTCACTCCAAGTTGTTGATGATACAGTCCAACTAAGACTGGACAAACAGTTTCAATGTCACTTAATGACATTTCTCCTATCGAACAACGTAATACACCATCTTAACTAAACATTAGTGTCAGGAAAATCCCACACTCCAAGAAGCCAACACTGACCTGCTACGGAGCTATTGGCGGACCAGGAGGGGATGGTGTTCCTCCTCTGGTAGAACAAGATGTAGGCCGTCTGCTGACACACATCATCATCAGCGATGGGCTGGACCTCACTGTCGTCAAAGCAGTACCACTGGCCGTCAATAGAGTTCTTACAGTAAGCTGGGGGTTAGAAGAACAAGAGATTTAGGGTGATGGTGAAGAAACTGTCAGTCCTATCCATCTACCTCCACAGTCAGTGACTACTACCCCCTACTGCTAAACCACCAGTCTTACCTGTGTAGTGGCCTCCATGCATGTTTCCGTGGTGATTGCAGACGGCGTACAGGTCGTACAGGTAGTCGTCAGGGTTACGCCCCAGGCCGTACGGTCGTCTCCATGGTGACCAGTGGGAGGGCAGGCTCCAGCTGCTCTGGGACCTCTTCACCATGTGAGGAGCCATGTCCATGCCTAGCAGAGGGAACCGCACCATGTTCTGCATCTTCACCCTCCTGTCAGCCTCCTACAGGACACAGCAGTAAACACATCAGTACCCAGTCAACTGAACTGTCGCTACACCTGCCTCTTAGACAGGCAGGAGATAGGTCACTGGGTAAGACTGAGTGACAGTGACTGAACATGGACAAGACAGAAAAAGCAAAGCAACACTGACTGAAGGCAAACCAAGAATAAGAACCAGTCGGGCCGCCCAAAGCATGAGAAACTACCATTACTAAAACATAACAGGAATGTTTGGACACAATTCTCAGTGTGGGAATTGAAGGGGGTGCTGAATGCTATGTTGTTGCTGCAGTACCTGTCTGAACCTCTTGAGGTGCAGTATGAGGACGTCAGGCAGGGTCCACAGGCTGAGCTTGATGCGGCCCTGCTGCAGCTGCTTGCAGTGGGGGCAGCGCCAGGCATCATCCGGGGCCAGCTGGAACAGAGACAGCCCACACACGCAGCCATCAAGGAAAAGCTCCCCACCGCAGTGCTTTTAAATCAGTCTCACTCATAGAGGGAGTTCCTGACTGCTCTACTCCATGTTTTCACAGCAACCTCATTTTTGTGACCAGAGCCAGTTCTTAAACTGACCACCTCCAGCCTCGGCTAACCACAGTGTATATTCAGAGTCTATCTGGTGTCCTTCCAGACAGAGAGAAGCCATTATAAAAATGCTGTATTTCAAACATAGCATTAGGGGCAGAATATCCAGCACCCTCAGCATTTGAACCAAATGAAAGGCTATTGGATAGTCAGCTGTGGAATAATAAACAAACCCTCTGGTAAGAAGGTAAGAAAATGTTCCTTTTTTCAAGTCTCTTTTCTTGTTTAAATACATACGACAGCATACAAATGCATCGACGGCCATTGTGTGTGGCCTTGTGATACCAACACAACGTGTGTGTGTGTGTGTGTGTGTGTGTGTGTGTGTGTGTACACCAGTGTTACCTGCTCCTCTTTGGTGTAGATCGTGGAGGCACTGAGCGAGGGTGCAGGCCTGGGGCTGATGGTGTTGCTCTCTGTGCAGATACACACTCTCAGCATCAGGGATGTACTCTTCCTCAGTGAGCCCAAACAGACTGCATGGAAGGGGAGGGGAGTCACAGTCAGCCAATGAATCACTCAACAACACACTGCCTCCTTTCCTAACACACAATACTAATCTGACACTTCCCAATAAGTGGAGATTGCTTAGGTAGGCTAATACTTAAGGATTTCATTCCTTTATGTTATCCTGTCTAAAGGCACCCGCGTGCTTCCCAGCCAAAACAGTTCGTAAGAGGTTGTGCATATATTATGACGGCATTATGTGAAGTTTCTGTTCATTTTGGAGTTCGGTAAAAATAAAATGTGGCTGTTCGGGCACACCTTTTTTCTGAGGCAAGCCGAAGTCGGTAGCCAAAGTCTCCGCCCCTTCGTCTGTGATTGGTCAACAGTAGCGATTCTTCAATAAAGCCTTTGTTGTCATTCAACGAGAGACGGTTCGTTTTCATGCAGATGTTTTAATTGAGAAATAAATACTGCATCAAACATCTTAGTTAAATGTAAAATTGCGCGACTATGAACTCATCGGCAAAAACGTCAAAATTAATGACAGATTTCTTGAGTTATCTTCGATTAATTCTGACTACAGTGTCTCAAAATGGACAAACAGTACTATTGCAGTTTCTTTCGCATTTATCAAGCGAAGGTGTCCCAGAAGCTGGGGTTTCTACACCATGAGGTTGAGTCTGTGATGTTGAGGGAAGGTGTCCCAGATTCAGTGGTGTGGCTGCTCTCTCCCTATTGGAAGTTTTCCTAGCGCTCGCTCTCTCCCTCGCCGTCTCTCTCTCCATTCCCCCCCCTCTCTCTCTTTTCCTATCTCAAGCACACTCGTTCGGTTTGCCAAGCCGAGTTCGGCAAGACACCAGCCGAACTGAAGCGTGCAGACTTTTGCCTTAATAAAGCAAAAACAAACATCAAAGTGCCTCGTCTGCTATAATCTCTCGCCCCTCTCTTTAGACAATCTATTTTGTTTAAATGAATATTTAGTGGCTTTAAGAGATGGGCATTTTTAATTATTTCACCATTCGAATATCCGGATAGTCGAAATACATATGTTTTAAAGAAAAACATGCAACAATTTCACTGAGTTACAGTTCATATAAGGAAATCAGTACATTTAAATAAATTCATTAAACCCTAATCTATAATTTCACATGACTGGCCAGGGGTGCATTAGGCCCACCCACTTGGGAGCCAGGTCCAGCCAATCAGAATTCGTTTCCCCCCCCCCACAAAAGGGCTTTATTACAGACATAAATAATCCTTAGTTTCATCAGCTGTCTGGGTGGCTGGTCTCAGACGATTCCGCAGGTGAAGAAGCTGTATGTGGAGGTACTGGGCTGGCGTGGTTACCCGTGGTCTGCGGTTGTGAGGCCGGTTTGACGTACTGCCAAATTCTCTAAAACGACGTTGGATGCAGCTTATAGTGGAGAACTGAACATTAAACTCTCTGGCAACAGCTCTGGTGGACATTCCTGCAGTCAGTATGTCAATTGCACGCTCCCTCAAAACTAAACTGCAAATTTTAGAGTGGCCTTTTATTTTCCCAAGCAGTTGGTGCACCTGTGTAATGATCGCACTGTTTAATCAGCTTTTTGATATGCCACACCTGTCAGGTAGATGGATTATCTTGGCAAAGGAGAAATGCTCACTAACAGGGATGTAAACAAATTAGTGCAAAAAAATTGAGAGAAATACGCTTTTTGTGCGTACGGAAAATTTCTGGATTTTTTTTTTTCAGCTCATGAAACATGGGACCACCAATTTACATTTTGTTTATATTTTTGTTCAGTATATATTTTGTCCAAAAGTTATGAGATCCAAAATGTATCGCTTAGTAGGAATGACCCAGCTAAATGAGTTAGCCAGCTAGCTAGCTAGCTTACATTTACATTTTACATTTTAGTCATTTAGCAGACGCTCTTATCCAGAGTGACTTACATCAGCAATTAGGGTTAAGTGCCTTGCTTAAGGGCACATCGACAGATTTTTCACCTAGTCGGCTCGGGGATTAGAACCAGCAACCTTTCGGTTACTGGCACAATTTACCCACTAAGCTACCTGCCGCCCGGGCTGCTGTGCTCCCAACGTCCTTGTCTACAACAACTCCATTCATATTAAACAACAGCCTACCTGTTGGTTGATCATTGTAGCCTACTTACTTACATTAAGCCAACTTAATTTCGTAATTGTAATTCCATTTTGCATTGATTAGAAATCCTCCCACTTCACTTGGTACACATGGAGCTTTTGATGGTAGTGCTGCTTTGATTGACCGACAATAACAAGCTACACTCATGAAGTGTGTGTAGGCTACCGGTACGTCTTTTTTTTTTTTAAATGGAGAGCACTCATAAAAACTGTCATAATAAAACTGCTGTTTTATTAAAATGTCTAATGTCATGGTATATCCTTATATGTTGCAATATCACATATATAATAAAATGTTAGACAAAGTATTTCATTAAAATAGGCCTAGCCTATATATATATATTATATATACAGTGGGGAGAACAAGTATTTGATACACTGCCGATTTTGCAGGTTTTTCTACTTACAAAGCATGTAGAGGTCTGTAATTTTATCATAGGTACACTTCAACTGTGAGAGAACTGGAATCCATAAAATCACATTGTATGATTTTTAAGTAATTAATTTGCAATTATTGAAACATAAGTATTGATCACTTACCAACCAGTAGATTCCGGCTCTCACAACCTGTTAGTTTTCTTAAAGCCCTCCTGTTCTCCACTCATTACCTGTATTAACTGCACCTGTTTGCAAGCTCGTTTACCTGTAGTAAAGACACCTGTTCCCACACTCCTCAAACAGACTCCAACCTCTCCACAATGGCAAAGACCAAGAGCTTGGTAAGAACATCAGGGTAAATTGTAACCTGCACAAGGCTGAATGGCTACAGACATAGGCACAGCTTGTGAGAAGGCACCAACTGTTTGGCACATTATTAGAAAAGTGGAAGAAGTTCAAGAGACGGTCAAATATCCCTCGATCTGGGGCTCCATGCAGATCTCACCTCGTGGGGCATAAATGATCATGAGGAAGGTGAGGGATCAGCCCAGAACTACACGGCAGGACCTGGTCAATGACCTGAAGAGAGCTGGGACCACAGTCTCAAAGAAAACCATTAGTAACACACTACGCCATCATGGATTAAAATCCTGCAGCGCATGCAAGGTCCCCCTGCTCAAAGCCGGCGCATGTCCAGGCCCGTCTGAAGTTTGCCAATGACCATCTGGATGATCCAGAGGAGGAATGGGAGAAGGTCATGTGGTCTGATGAGACAAAAATAGAGCTTTTTGGTCTAAACTCCACTCGCCGTGTTTGGAGGGAGAAGAAGGATGAGTACAACCCCAAGAACAACCATCCCAACCGTGAAGCATGAAGGTGGAAACATCATTCTTTTGGGGATGCTTTTCTGCATAGGGGACAGGACGACTGCAACCGTATTGAGGGGAGGATGGATGGGGCCATGTATCGCGAGATCTTGGCCAACAACCTCCTTCCCTCAGTAAGAGCATTGAAGATGGGTCGTGGCTGGGTCTTCCAGCATGACAACGACCCGAAACACACAGCCAGGGCAACTAAGGAGTGGCTCCGTAAGAAGCATCTCAAGGTCCTGGAGGGGACTAGCCATTCTCCAGACCTGAACCGAATATAAAATATTTGGGAGGGAGCTGAAAGTCCGTATTGCCCAGCGACAGCCCCGAAACCTGAAGGATCTGGAGAAGGTCTGTATGGAGGAGTGGGCCAAAATCCCTGCTGCAGTGTGTGCAAACCTGGTCAAGACCTACAGGAAACGTATGATCTCTGTAATTGCAAACAAAGGTTTCTGTACCAAATATTAAGTTCTGCTTTTCTGATGTACCAAATACTTATGTCATGCAATAAAATGCAAATTAATTACTTAAAAATTATACAATGTGATTTTCTGGATTTTTGTTTTAGATTCCGTCTCTCACAGTTGAAGTGTACCTATGATAAAAATTACAGACCTCTACATGCTTTGTAAGTAGGAAAACCTGCAAAATCGGCAGTGTATCAAGTACTTTTTCTCCCCACTGTATGTATGTATGTATATATATATATATATATATATATATATATACATACACACACACAGTTGAAGTCGAAAGTTTACATACACCTTAGCCAAATACATTTAAACTTTGTTTTTCACAATTCCTGACATTTAATCCCAGTACAAATTCCCTGTTTTAGGTCAGTTAGGATCACCACTTTATTTTAAGAATGTGAAATGTCAGAATAATAGTAGAGAGAATGATTTATTTCAGCTTTTATTTCTTTCATCACATTCCCAGTGGGTCAGAAGTTTACATACACTCAATTAGTATTTCATAGCATTGCCTTTAAATTGTTTAACTTGGGTCAAACGTTTTGGGTAGCCTACCACAAGCTTCCCACAATAAGTTGGGTGAATTTTGGCCCATTCCTCCCGACAAAGCTGGTGTAACTGAGTCAGGTTTGTAGGCCTCCTTGCTCACACATGCTTTTTCAGTTCTGCCCACAAATGTTCTATATGATTGAGGTCAGGGCTTTGTGATGGCCATTCCAATACCTTGACTTTGTTGTCCTTAATCCATTTTGCCACAACTTTGGAAGTATGCTTGAGGTCATTGTCCATTTGGAAGACCCATTTGCGACCAAGCTTTAACTTCCTTACTGATGTCTTGAGATGTTGCTTCAATATATCCACATAATTTTCCTTCCTCATGATGCCATCTATTTTGTGAAGTGCACCAGTCCCTCCTGCAGCAAAGCACCCCCACAGCATGATGCTGCCACCCCGTGCTTCACGGTTGGGATGGTGTTCTTCGGCTTGCAAGCTCCCCCTTTTTCCTCCAAACATAACAATGGTCATTATGGCCAAACAGTTCTATTTTTGTTTCATTAGACCAGAGGACATTTCTCCAAAAAGGACAATCTTTGTCCCCATGTGCAGTTGCAAACCGTAGTCTGGCTTTTTAAAGGCAGTTTTGGAGCAGTGGCTTCTTCCTTGCTGAGAGCCTTTCAGGTTATGTCGATATAGGAATCGTTTTACTGTGGATATAGATACTTTTGTAGCTGTTTCCTCCAGCATCTTCACAAGGTCCTTTGCTGTTTTTCTGGGATTGATTTGCACTTTTCGCACCAAAGTACGTTCATCTCTGGGAGACAGAACGCGTCTCCTTCCTGAGCGGTATGACGGCTGCGTGGTCCCATGGTGTTTATACTTGCATACTATTGTTTGTACAGATGAAAGTGGTACCTTCAGGCGTTTGGAAATTGCTTCCAAGGATGAACCAGACTTGTGGAGGTCTGCACTTTCTTTTCTGAGGTCTTGGCTGATTTCTTTTGATTTTCCCATGATGTCAAGCAAAGAGGCACTGAGTTTGAAGGTAGTCCTTGAAATACATCCACAGGTACACCTCCAATTGACTCAAATTATGTCAATTAGCCTATCCGAAGCTTCTAAAGCCATGACATTTTCTGGAATTTTCCAAGCAGTTTAAAGGCACAGTCAACTTAATGTATGTAAACTTCTGACCCACTGGAATTGTGATACAGTGAATTATAAGTGAAATAATCTGTCTGTAAACAATTGTTGGAAAAAGTAGATGTCCTAACCGACTTGCCAAAACTATAGTTTGTTAACAAGACATTTGTGGAGTGGTTGAAAAACGAGTTTTAATGATTCCAACCTAAGTGTATGTAAACTTCCGAGTTCAACTGTATATATTCTCGCAAGTAATTGAATACTAACTTCCATTTGGATATTCAAATATTCTAACAACCGTCCCCATCCCTAGTGGCTTTATGGGGATCATTTACGGTAATGTATTTCCCTGCAGGATAAATCTCACCACAAAACCCCAGAAACATGGCGTTTATCAAAGGGATGCAGAGCACCAGCAATATTGTTGTGCAGCGTTCACTCACTAATCCTTGGTCTCTTTGTCCCACTCCACCACTATCTTGACGTGCGGCGGTCCCCCCTGGCCACAGGACTTGTACGCTCTGCCGATGAAAGATTATGTTATGAGGGAAAACGAGAACAAGCCAGTTTCACAACCCTGCCTGACAAGTTAAAAATATTCCAACCAATAAGCTGTATTCCTCTCATCTTTAAAACACTACAAATCTAAGTGAGTTGGATTTACATTACCCATGTGGCTGTCCTTTTGCCTGCTGTACACATATCTATCCAGCTTTTTAATGTGTGTACTGTGTGACAAACTTCCATTCTATTCAATTGAATCAGCAACTGGGATATAAACTATAAACCAAACTTGCTGAGCAAGCAGTGTGTGTGAAGAAACAGACACCAAAACATGTAAAGGCACGCCATTTAATGGTTCTGGTGACATAAGAGCATCTGATCTGGCATTCAAGTGTGGTTAGAGGATTACAAGGAGGCAGTGAACAGTAAACAACAGTGTGCATTGGGGGTGAGGAGGTGGTGTTCAGTAGGAAAGAAAACATTTTGAAAAGGGGAGATACTACCTGAACACAGATGTCCTTTTTGTGATGAGAAACGTTTTGTTATGTGCCCTACTGAACATGACCCTGGTTGAGAGCCATTTAGCAGACACTTTTATCCAAAGCGACTTACTGTCATGTGTGCACACATTTTTTACGTACAGACGTGCTATCTTAATTTGATCACCCTGTTGTCGCAGAGAATTTTCCTGCGCAACAGGAAATGAAAATGTATTGCATTCGAGGTTGAACAAAAAATTTATCAACCCCTATAAAAATGTACATTCATTATAATCCATATAATATAGAAACTAGTCAAATTAAGATATCACATCTGTATGGGTGGTCCCGGGAATCAAACACACTATCCTGGAATTGCAAGCACCATGCTCTACCAACTGAGCTACAGAGGACCAGGAATAACAAGGAGACTGACCTTTCCACTGTTGGGTGACAGAGAGGCTGCTCCTCTTGGGGCAGGAGGTACGTGATGCCAACCACACCAACCACTCGTAGGCTGAAGGGCCCCACCTGCAGATAATACCAAGACTTTAGTTACTCACTATCCCTATTCCCACTACGTATAGACATGTTGCCATGGCTGTGCTTTTCAAACCAGACCAACTGCATTCTATCCAATGAAGCAACTTAAAACGTCCAACGTGCCATTACATGGGAATCAACTGTTTATTTCTTTAGAGTCTAAGACGTTGGAGGATAGGGGGTGCTAAGCTGACATATGGAATTGTTTTAAGATGGTCATACTATAGATAATTTAGCTATTATATTTTGAATTTTAGGACCCCTTTAGATATAATAAAAAATATATAAACATGTATTTGATAACATATTGATTTTGGCCTTTACTACTAAAGCCCATAGAAACGCATTGAATAACACATTCATATATGGCAAAAAGGACAGTCAAAAAATAAATAATAAGAAACAAGGTTATGAAGTGTCTGTCCTAAATTTAGGAGATACAGTGAGGGGAAAAAAGTATTTGATCTCCTGCTGATTTTGTACATTTGCCCACTGACAAATAAATGATCAGTCTATAATTTTAATGGTAGGTTTATTTGAACAGCGAGAGACAGAATAACAAAAAAAAAATCCAGAAAAACGCATGTCAAAAATGTTATAAATTGATTTGCATTTTAATGAGGGAAATAAGTATTTGACCCCCTCTCAATCAGGAAGATTTCTGGCTCCCAGGTGTCTTTTATACAGGTAACGAGCTAAGATTAGGAGCACACTCTTAAAGGAAGTGCTCCTAATCTCAGCTTGTTACCTGTATAAAAGACACCTGACCACAGAAGCAATCAATCAATCAGATTCCAAACTCTCCACCATGGCCAAGACCAAAGAGCTCTCCAAGGATGTCAGGGACAAGATTGTAGACCTACACAAGGCTGGAATGGGCTACAAGACCATCGCCAAGCAGCTTGGTGAGAAGGTGACAACAGTTGGTGCAATTATTCGCAAATGGAAGAAACACAAAAGAACTGTCAATCTCCCTCGGCCTGGGGCTCCATGCAAGATCTCACCTCGTGGAGTTGCAATGATCATGAGAACGGCGAGGAATGAAATGATGATCTCTGCATGTGTATTTCCCACTGTAAATCATGGAGGTGGTGGTGTTATGGTGTGGGGGTGCTTTGCTGGTGACACTGTCTGTGATTTATTTAGAATTCAAGGCACACTGGCTACCACAGCATTCTGCAGCGATACGCCATCACATCTGGTTTGGGCTTAGTGGGACTATCATTTGTTTTTCAACAGGACAATGACCCAACACACCTCCAGGCTGTGTAAGGGCTATTTTACAAAGAAGGAAAGTGATGGAGTGCTGCATCAGATGACCTGCCCTCTACAATCCCCCGACATCAACCCAATTGAGATGGTTTGGGATGAGTCGACGGCAGAGTGAAGGAAAAGCAGCCAACAAGTACTCAGCATACGTGGGAACTCCTTCAAGACCGTTGAATAGACTGTTCTCTCTGCTGCCGCACGGCAAGCGGTACCGGAGTGCCAAGTCTAGGTCCAAAAGACTTCTCAACAGCTTCTACCCCCAAGCCATAAGACTCCTGAACAGCTAATCATGGCTACCCGGACTATTTGCACTGCCCCCCCACCCCATCCTTTTTACGCTGCTGCTACTCTGTTAAGTATTTATGCATAGTCACTTTAACTCTACCCACATGTACATATTACCTCAACTACCTCAACTAGCCGGTGCCCCCGCACATTGACTCTGCAACGGTACCCCCCTGTATATATAGCCTCCCTACTGTCACTTTATTTTACTGTATATATAGCCTCCCTACTGTCACTTTATTTTACTTCTGCTCTTTTTTTCTCAACACTTTTTTTTCTTGTTGTTTTAATCTTACTTTTTTTGTTTAAAATAAATGCACTGTTGGTTAAGGGCTGTAAGTAAGCATTTCACTGTAATGTCTGCACCTGTTGTATTCGGCGCATGTGACCAATAAAATTTGATTTGATTTGATTTGAAAAGCATTCCAGGTAAAGCTGGTTGAGAGAATGCCAAGAGTGTGCAAAGCTGTCATCAAGGCAAAGGGTGGAATCTCAAATATAAAATATATTTTGATTTGTCTAACACTTTTTTGGTTACGACATGATTCCATGTGTTATTTCATAGTTTTGAATTCTTCACTATTATTCTATAATGTAGAAATTAGTAAAAAATAAAGAAAAACCCTTGAATGAGTAGGTGTGTCCAAACTTTTGACTGGTACTGTATATATATATATATTTTTTTTACACATATTTAACCCCTTTTTTGGGTAGGCACAAAACTCCCTTCATACTTGCATTCGTTTTTTTTAACCGGTACCGGTTACCTTCAGACGAATCCTGTGACTCGTGGGGGTCGTAGAGCAAAACTGAGTTTGTGGGAGTCTTACCTTTCCATTGAGCGGTCATAATAATTTCTAGGTCAAACTGTTCAGACGTTTTCATGAGAAGAACGATTTTATGGATCTCTCATGGTCTGACGCACACCGCTCTAGCTCTGCCGCATTTTACCGCAGATGCGCAAGTGCGACACTGGCGGATGCAGTGGATCGAGACACATCCAATGCAAAAAAACATATCTCTAGCTTATACTGACGGATTTTGATGGGGATTTTTTTGTTATGTCATTTAGATTCCAGTGCGTCAATCGACTCTAGGGGATTAAATGCAGTAAACCACAGTGCCTGCTAGTGAAAGCCTTCACAGGTTGTAATTCAGAGTCTTTCGCCATATCATCATTGTTTTTTAGTTGACAGTTTACCTCAATTCTGTGGGATTGTGTTTCCATTCACCCACCTGAATGTAAACTCCTGGCCTGAGCAGGTGATGCATCTTCTCCAGGATCACCTTCTGCAGGATATCCCAGGTCACAGTGCGATCCATGTACAGTACAAATGGAAGACCAAACCTGGAACAGAAGGAATGATATTCTACTGTTAACAGACTCCAAATATGCCTTAATATAACAAATCTCATATGACCTGCACGGTTTCAGAGGACAGTGGAAAACGCTGGGCTGTAGTACCCATAGAAATACAATTAGAACATTGTAATCAATATTATTAATAGTGCATCTCTATAGTACCTCCTCCCTTGCTGGCCGGTGCAGGCTCGGTTACAGATCAGCAGGACCATCTTGTCGGCCCCCATGTTCTTATTGGGCGTTGCAGTGGCAGGATTCACAGCTCCTTGCATGAAAGATGAAGTCCTGCTCATCTCACTCCCAAACTTTAAGTTGTTCTGGTTCAGGTTGGCAAGGAGACTCCCTGGATTTCAAATCCCAATTGGTCATTGATACTCAGTCAATACTTCAATATACATTACACAAAATGCATGACAAGTACACTACCAAAACTGCACAAATTATTATTTTTTTAATGCCCAAAACGTATTGAATAATTTGATATCAAAAGTAGATTAATAGTGAAGAGGTACCTCTCTTGGTTCGAATGTTCTCTAGCCTGAAGGTCTCAGGCGTCTCAAAGGCAAAGATGGAATCGCTCTCCTGAATGATATCGAGATCGTCGTCATCATCACAGAAGGAGCGATGGAAACCGTCGTAGTACATCTCCGTCAAAACAAACTGAAACAGAGATAAGAGGAAGTCAGAACAAATCAATACGCTGCTGCCATTTAGTCAACTCTGAAATGCTTTTATTCAGATAAGATGGTGAAACATTAGTTAGGCCATGCCCATTTTAGTGAATGAAAAACAGAACACAAATAAACATCAGTATTCTCTACAGTGTATAGGCCTACCTCTTCTGTAAATACAGAACAATGGTAAATACAGAAGGCTACACACTATGATTGAAAACCCCCTCCCTTCCTCCTGGAGTCCTTGACCTATCCCTCAATCATATCAGCTTTTCTTATTCAGACCAGGATTTCACACAGACTAGTGTTTTACTTAATGTTATCCAATGACATCACTGTATGAAAGGTTCAGCCACATCAAACCTAAGCATCAGTTCTGTTGTTCTTGGATACAATGGGCTCTGTTCCAGTGAACCCTTCATCCTGATTAAGAGACTATGATTCACTATCCTAATACCACAACACTATAAAGCAGCTATTAATACTGAAATGGGCACACAATCAGTCTAGTACCCAGGGATTAATCATTCAAGGAAAAGTAAGCCTAAGTAGGGTGCTCCTTTACTGTTATTTTCAGATAACAATCCTTTGAAATCCTTAGTAGCTAGATACCACAATAAAATAAAACATTCAAGTTAACGTCTGTGTGTATGTAACCTAGTAAGACAGAGCTGAGGCTGCTAGGGATAAGAGAGCAGGAAGGAAGCAGCACCTGGTCCAGGGGGATCTTGGTCTCACGTGACACAGCATCTCGGAGTCTGTACACGGTGCTGTTCAGGGGCACGGCCACTCCAATCCTCATACAGTGAGAGTACTTCCCCTGGTAGACCACTGTCACATACAGAGGCCTGGGAGGAGAAGAAACATGGGAAATGACAGGGATCAAATATTGGCACCCTGCATGAAATAATTACAAAACACCAGATAAAAACCACTGACAAGGTCCAGGAATTAACAGAATGGACAAACTCAACTGTCGCCATATCAAACACAATTACGTCCAATAATCAACCTCTTAGGAGAGGACAGGTTTCCATCTCCTCTAATAATGCTGCTACCTCATTGTCTGGAGACTGGCTAATTTGTAATTACTCAGAGCACTGAGCAGGATTCCTCTGGTGACTGTGTGGATCAGTGCTTCTCTAAGCTGACACTAAGAACTCAGCCAGCAGGCACAGCAATGCAGCTTTTTCAGGAGTTCAGTTTCAGATACCCCACATTTTGGAGAACCCACATTTTCAAGATGGTTGCCATTTCTGAGTTTCTCTGTCATTTGAACTTCAGTTATGTGGGATCTGTCTTCACATCAGCTCAACTAAGGCCAGAAACAGTGGCATTACAGGCATAGCAGAACATTTTGATTCTGAGAAATAACCTAGATGCTTCAGATGAGTGATAACTGATAACCCAAACTTGAGTAACAGGATTGTGTTTCTGGGAGGAGGAGGAAGAAGAAGAAGTGAAGCCAGAGCGGTGAGCCACTGAGCCTTGGTCTGGAGGACCATTATTCTGTCATCAATCAGATTCGCTGGAGGACTAATGGGACGTAATGTGCCACTGCCTATCTCCTAATTTCACCTCATCCTTCCCATCTTTAATTATGCATGGGCAGTAATGAATTTAGTGGCTTAAAAAAGAATCTGCATCGAACAGGGTACTCTCTCCTTGATGTGACAGTATAACACCATCGTAAAATAGCATCACTGTGTCATGAGGACAAAAAGGCCATACATGTCCCAGGTACCTCAGTTTAGGAGCATTATGAATCCTCAGCTGAGTGAGCATAAAGGTGGTTTTGAATGCTAGGCACAAATAATGAAATTCAAAATACTAAAATGATGACAGAGAAGAACACAACATATTTCTAAAATGTCACAGGCCTACATCTTCATTTCAAATTTAAAAGTATGTCTATTTTCCTTTTTGCTTTAGCCATTGAGTGTTTTTCTGGGCATGTAGCCCTTAAATTGGCTTTAGAAATAGATTAGTCCCATAATACTGGCTTGGCTTGGTCTGCAGATAGTCTCCTAAATGGCATATTTGGCCCCAAACGACATTCCTTCTTATTTGCTTTGCTTCCGCATCCCTGGGAAATTGAAATGAACCACAGTCTCAAGTAGTCTCAAGATGTACATTTCAACAGTCTTGTTCCGGCCACCAGACCCAATGCTGGAACACAGCAGAGATGTGTACTCACCTTGTGTGAGGTAAGGGGATGGGCAGGGAGATGCAGAGGAAAGGATCAAAGGTGTTGCTCTGTTTTTGGCAATGCGGGCAGGTGAGCGACGACCTGTCGGTAAGAAAGGGAACTACTTTGTCTCAGAAGAAGTCATGAGGAATAAACAGAATGGAGAATATAAAACTCCTCAGCGGTAAGCATCAAATAAGACCTACCTGTACTGGGCCTGAAATAGCTCTTGCACAAATGAACCGGTAGAGAGCGGAAGAGAAGGCCCCTCTAGACCCCCATCATCCTCTTCCACTGGTGGCTAATAGGAGAAAACAGAGTGGATGAGCTCTCACTGCATATTAGACGATTTAGGATATTGAGGCTGTATTCTATTCACTACGTCAAAGAGCATCCAAAGCACAGTCTGAAAGACATCCAAAGGATAAGAGACCAAAATACAAACAAAACTGCCAGTGATGCTGCAGCTCCTCTGACTTATCCTCAAGGATGTATGGGCATTTGACATGGCGGACTAATCAACAAAGCTCTGTGGGGTCTATTCAGGTCACGTCTCTCACTCTGCATGTCTAAAGCCTTCCTCGTGCTTTGGTTCTGCTGGCACCTAGTCGAACTCAGCTAGGCGAACGAATGTGCTCGCATACTCCCTTAAAAGACCTTTGCTTGAAAAACGGGAAAGCGGCAATAGTACCGTTTGTCCATCTTGAGACACCGTAGCCAGTATACACTTCCTCAACATAGACAGAATTCATCTAAGATAACTCAAGATATCAGTCACTAACTTTGACGTTTTTGCAGAGGAGACCTTAGTCGCACAATTTTACTTCTCAGGTGAACAACATTTGCATGAAAACGATTAGTCTCTGATTGTTTTGGATGGGAAGCATGCGGACGCCTTTACAGAGCAGGGAGCTGTGAGTGATAGCAGACCGAGGAGACTGAGAAATCCAGGAAGGGGACACAGAACACCATCACTTCCTGTTCATTCTCCCACAGGAGATGAATCAGTCAGCACACTGTAAAGTAGGGAAGTGAGCTCTATCTCCTAACTTGTTTGTTCCAGTGCGCTGGAAGATTGATGCCTGATAAGGGGCTCTGCGTTCAGAAATGGGTTAGGTCGGTAAATCTGCCCTGGCCTGCAGGATGCCAGGCCCTTTCCCTCGCTCCAATGTTATTCCGTTTGGAATGTCTGAGTGAGGCTTCAAAGGACATCACAATTAGCCAGTCACCTCATCCACTCAGACTGCTGACTCACCTCAGGTACAACTCCATTCCCTGCTGGCTCGAGGTCACATCACTAACTGTCTCGCTGTGCTAACCTAGCATCTACCACCGTTCCTGAAGTTGCATTAGTAGCCCCTAACTCTATGATGTACAAACAAAAGTTTACCTTAATGGAAGGCCTGTTGTTGGGATGGTTGTTGAGGTCCTCATGTACCCTGTCCAGAAGCCAGAGCAGAAACTCCTGGGCATCATGCTGACCATTGCCTCTATACTGCAAAGCGCTCTTTGAGACAGCATTCTGTAACAAACAGCACAAGCAACACTGCTTGAAAGTTCTGGTGATAGCCTAGTCTCAGAAGTATGATGTAGCCTAAATGTATTTGACCATTAGGCTGTTTCAAAGATCTGTAGTATAGGCTGAATCTGAGGGCCAAATGCAGTCCTGTGAGACAAGCAGTTTTGCTTTATGATGTATTGTACCAACTTACTTTGAACTCCCTGCTGTGCTGTGGGGTGTATTCAAATGTCCACAGGGCCCGGACCAGTCCAGACAGCTGCTCTGTCACCTCGCCTCTGTCCTGAGGGCCCTTCCTCCCCAAATGCACACAGTTTGTCTTCGGTTTCTCCTTCTCCTCGTCCGTTTCCTCGACTCCCCGGTATTGTTCCAGTGCCAAATACTCAGCAAAGAGTTCAGTGTTACTCAGACACTGGAGGATGGCATTCATGAAACAAGTGTTACCATGGTTTTTGAGACCAGACACTCCAGGGACCTTCTCTCCGAGGTAACGGTCACTATCATCCAAAGCTGTTGAATCTTTGCCTCCAGTTTTGAATAATGTGAAACCCCCATCGTCTTTGTCACCTTCAATAGCATGCCCATCTGATCCAAAATGGGACAAGGTTGACAGGGTCCTGAGGACTCTCCCCATAAAACTACCCACAGAGCGCACAGAGCCTCGTCTGAAGAGTTTCTTGCTGAAGCTACCAGATTTCTTCTCTTTAGTCGTGGCTTTACTGGACATGATTGTCTGACTTGTTGGGCATCCCCTCATGCAATCAATGTCAAAATTCAATCTTTCCTGTGCTGAACGAGCTGAGTTAGCTAGCTAACTAGAATTACTTTCAGCTGTCTTGTGCTACATCTCAACTGGGATTGGGATGTCAAGTTACATCTCAACCCATAAACTAGCTTGCTGGGATATATTTCCCATACTAGGGGTATAGCATTGACTACCATTAAATACGTGTCAACACATTTCCAAAGACAATTGTTATGTTGATCTAATTGCATAGCTAACGTTAGTGTGTCAGCTAACACAACAGCAACAATCCATAGGTAGCTAGTTAGCGAATCAGCTAGCTAAATTGGCTAGTTAGCTAGCTTACAAGCCATACATTAATCAATTGTAAGTGATTCAATTTAGTAAAATACACAAATGACAATAAGTTGTCAATGCATTTTTATATGCTAAACAAGTCAACTTATCCGCTGACGTTCTTGCAAGTCGTTTCTTGTAGCTAGCTGATTGTTTTTATAGTTAGCATTTGCACATTAGCTAGCCAGAGATGCTAGCCACGGCATAAATGAGTCCCTTGCGCAGAAGTGTCCTCATCGAAAATATAAATGTAGCTACCAAGCCAAGAGACGTTTAATTCCGTGTCCTTGATTAACTTGAGTGGGATTGTAACATGTCCTATGCTTTCCAAACTGAAGTATTCTCCTAAATCCGACTTTCCATTGCAGCGGAGTCAGTTTTTCACAATATCAGCTAAAAAAAAAACACGGACACTGCAGGACCGCAGAGAAACAGCTGACGTAACAGAGTCAACGCCAAAATACAACTGGGGGAGGGAGGGGGGTTCCACTGTGACTTTTTTTTTCCATAAACCAAACGTTTTGTATCAAAGTATCAAAATGTGCATTTTTAAATAATAAAATCAATGTTTGTTTTTTCAAAGGTAGGCCTATCCATAATCATGCAGTTGAAAATTAAGGAAATACTCCCTGATCTAAGGACAGTCCAAAAAATAGAATTGTAAGATTGACATAAATAATTGCTTCTTAAAATTAGTTTGTTTTGGTTGCAAGTATGAGTGGGTTGGGTCTCCTATAGTACAGGGTGAGGCCCTATGATAATGGGGTTAATGAAATCTGAGAGGAGGTATGTTTCAGTTCCCACATTGATCCAGTCTGACATCAAGTTGATCTACTGGTATTTTAATACACCACAACATACAAAATGTACAACAAATAGGATGGTGGAATCAATCCTTGACTGCCACATCTTGGCTGCATGGCCTCATCATACAGTGATGGATTTAGCTTTATTGAATTTTATGTAACCTATCACATACACACATTAGCCTATCAAAATACTAAATTTGGCTCCATTATCTACTAAAATGCAAAACACACAGACATAGTAAAACAATATCTATTTTAGCTTGGTGTCAGAGGAAAGAGAATCAGTCTGATGAGGGAATCAGCAGTCAAGGTCACCAACATAAAACCAATTGTAATTTGAGTCTTCATTGTGCCCGCCTCCTAATCCTCTACCCACCAATCAACATGTCTTCTGTCATGTAGCACAGCATGAAATTAGCCTAATGCAAATTGTCCTTTAGACTTCTCTACAATTGAGATGGGAGGGAGAGGCACAGCGAGCTTTGTAATGTATAGTCTACTTTCAGACATCAGACACAATGTCAAACAACATAAAATTATGTAGGCCTAATGGTTCATGTATTTCCTTATTGTTTTCCATTGAACGTAGTATGGTTTTGACACCTACAAATGCTACTGACCTAAAGATGCAAGGATGTGGTGAATAAATGTGTGTTTTTAATTATAGTGCCATGAGTCACTTTCCTCATCAATATCTTTCTTGGACCTTTAGCTATTGTTTCGCTATAGCTATTGGGTTGGTGTAACTTAGAAGTAAGGTAAAAGTAGGCTACCCAGATATAGATCCTAGCGATACAGATTCATCCATATGCTGCCACCACATGCCCAGATCATTTAGTTCCCATATGCTCAGGTATGGCTTAATTTCCTGCTCTTTTAAGCTGACCTCAGCACACACAGTGACTAGCTACTGTGCATCCCAGAAGCACCTCTCATCATTAGGATATCTATCCAATTAAATCTCTCCCAAGTAGCTCAGACTAGAGTGCAGACCATAGACCTTACGTAAAAGAAGGGTGTAGACCATACATTTTACTGGGAAACATTGTATGATGCTATCATTACATAGATTTCCTTCATTCTATCTTATCCCAGTGTTCAGTGCCTCTGTATTGTATTATACAGTAAATGCTAAAGCACATTACTTAATGAAACATTTAATGCCAAAGAATCTGAAACTAAAAAATAAGCTGCTTTTTTCTACAGCTCTTCAAAATTATATACGATTCAGCCATGTGAATATTGCCCTCTGCTGTTTGGAGAAAGGAAGTCAGTCACCAAGAATGATTTTGAAAATAATGAATTATTTTCACTGCAATGTAGACTGCATGAGCACCCCACACCCCACAGCACATAATGAGAAAAATCTCCATAGATTTGAGCGACGATGACTAATTTAGCTACGGACACATGATTATTTAAAAATCCACACATGTAGGCCTAATATGACCTAGCGTGGTTTTATAGAATGGTTTGATTAATTTGATCATTTTGTGACGGCAACATGGGTGCCTGTGCACACACTTGCGCCAATATACTTACTTTTAGGCCTAGATCCTTTTTAACACAGGCCCACACTGCTAAATACTTCCCTTATTGCTAGCAAGTGCCCCAGTTATCTTGTGATCAAATGAAGTAAAAAATAAATTAAAAATCCTTCAATTTGTGCAGTGATTTTGAGTGCTTACTTTGTGTTTGTCTTGTTCTTGCCAAATCACACTTCTTGGTATACAGTCTGAAACAAAGCACTGCAAAATCTTGTAAATGTTCCTTACAAGCCAGAATGTTTGTCACGCCCTGACCTTTAATGCCTGTTGTTTCTCGTTGGTTTGGTCAGGGTGTGAATATCGATGTGTATTTCTATGTGTACATTCTATGTTTGTAGATCTATGTTGGCCGGGTGTGGTTCCCAATCAGAGGCAGCTGTCGATCGTTGTCTCTGATTGGGGATCATACTTAGGCAGCCATTTTGCCTACCTATGTTGTGGGATCTTGACTCTTGTTTGGCTTGTTTGTGTGTAGCCATTGTGAGCTTCACGTTATGTTGCGTTTGTTGTTTGGTCGTGTGTGACTTCGTTAATAAACATGTATGCATTCCACGCTGCACCTTGGTCCAATCCTGTACTCAACGGACGTGACAATGTTGAATAAAGTTCCATTTGAACTTACTCTACCGGTTGTCTGTGCGGTTCGTCCTTCAGCTGCTCAAAACGTGAGACAAAACATCCACAGGAAAATATCCCACTGGGCACGGATTTCAATTAAACATCTATTCCACATTGGTTCTATGTAATTTCATTGAAATGATGTGGGAACAACATTGATTCAGTCAGTGTGTGCCCAGTGGGTACTGTTTCCCAACTTTTTAGAGTGCCACCTGGCACATGCGCAGAACCATGTAAAATGTTAGTATGCATGCATCACGTGCATGTACTTCTGTTGTGCAAGTGCCTTAGATCATGAGCAAACACATCTTGATTTGGAAGATTGATTTCCATTTTATTTGGAATGGCAAGCCAGACAAAATTAAAAAGAACTATTTATATAATGAACATAAATTCGGAGGGCAGAAATTATTAAATATTAAAGCATTATACCTCTCACTAAAGGTGTCAGTCATACAAAAGTTATACTTAAATCCGAACTGGTTCTCTAGCAAATTAGTAAGAATGTCTCACCCCATATTCAAGAATGGCCTTTTACATTTATTCAGATTACAACCTCTCACTTTCGTTTTTTGTTTTTTTAATGAAAGAATCTCCAAAATATCGCCATTTTTAAAACAAGTCATAGAAAGTTTGTTGCAATTTCAGTTTAATCCCCCAGAATAGACAGAACAAATAATACAACAAATATTGTGGTTAAACTCAAATATACTAATTGATTTTTTTAAAACATACTTTTTTGCTAAACTGTATAATCTTTGTAAATTATATCATAAATATGACTGGTGGAGTTACAGTATGTCACACATGCAGCTAACAAAAATCTATGGAAATGTCTGCTCTACCCAAAATTACCACCAACTAATTGCAGCATTACCGCAAAAATGGAAGAGGCAAGTGGAAGTGGGAAAAAGTAAGGAACTTGTCTGCATTAAAGACCAACATTGGTTAAAGAATATTGTGAGAAAGAAGAATACCAGTTTAATTTAAGGACCAAAAAATGTACAGCTGTGCCATATAGATTGTAAAATAGTTGGGAAGAGATTTTCGATGTACCGATTGCATGGCACATGGTTTATGAACTGATACGCAAAACGACGCCGGATTTAAAACTTCACATTTTTCAATTTTAATTATTATACAAAATTCTTGGAACCAATAGAATGTTATATATATATGGAGAATACAACCTTCCCAGCTCTGCACATTTTGCTGCGAAGAGACAGAGTCATTAGATCATTTATTTTAGCACTGTATGTAGCTTGTTTTTGGTCACAGGTCCAGGAATGGCTGAAGAATTGCAACATTTACCTGGAGCTAACTCTGCAGATAACACTACCGGGTGATTTGAAAAGTTATAGTCAATCGATCAATAATACACTGCTCAAAAAAATTAAGGGAACACTTAAACAACACATCCTAGATCTGAATGAATGAAATAATCTTATTAAATACTTTTTTCTTTACTTTTTCCTACAAAATCACACAAAAATTATCAATGGAAATCAAATGTATCAACCCATGGAGGTCTGGATTTGGAGTCACCCTCAAAATTAAAGTGGAAAACCACACTACAGGCTGATCCAACTTTGATGTAATGTCCTTAAAACAAGTCAAAATGAGGCTCAGTAGTGTGTGTGGCCTCCACGTGCCTGTATGACCTCCCTACAACGCCTGGGCATGCTCCTGATGAGGTGGCGGATGGTCTCCTGAGGGATCTCCTCCCAGACCTGGACTAAAGCATCCGCCAACTCCTGGACAGTCTGTGGTGCAACGTGGCGTTGGTGGATGGAGCGAGACATGATGTCCCAGATGTGCTCAATTGGATTCAGGTCTGGGGAACGGGCGGGCCAGTCCATAGCATCAATGCCTTCCTCTTGCAGGACACACTCCAGCCACATGAGGTCTAGCATTGTCTTGCATTAGGAGGAACCCAGGGCCAACCGCACCAGCATATGGT